AAGAGATAATTTTTTTTTTATTTTTAAATCTTTTCTCATTCAACACAACATTTAAATTTAAGATTTTCAATTTTAAATCTAAAATTGATAACTGTTAAGTAATCTTATTAGTTAAAAATAAAAATTAGTTCTACATTGGTTGAATGACTTTTTTTTTTTTTTTTTTTTGGATAAAATCAACTTTTCAACACTTTAAATAATCTAAAGGCGGGAATCATTAAAGTGATTTCACACTGATAAAAAGAAACCATTAACACGTGAATGACAAAGGTGGTACCCAACAGTGATGTTTGTACTCATCAATCTTGCAATTGACATTGTAAATTGACTAAATTCTGATAATTTGCTGTTGCAGTCTTATTTGTTATCTCCTTCAAAATCAAATCCAACTTAAAACACAAATTGATTAATAAGCGCTCTACTCTCTCCCCCCTCTCTTCCTCACATACACTCATCAGTATCTTCTCTTGAGATATGAAGAAGCTTAATCATTTTAGTCATCCCCATCCTTTGGTCCTGGTGGAAGATCAGGAGATGGATTCGATTGGTACAATTTACTACTGCTCAGCATGTCAGGAGCGAGTAGAGGGTTCCAGCTACAACTGCTCAGAGTGTGACTTTTGTCTTCATAAGTCTTGTGCTGAGCTACCGAGGGAGATCAATCATCCCTTTCACGCAAGCCATCCCCTCATTCTTTATGGTGAGCCGCAATATGCCACCATAGTTGTTGGGTTTAGTTGTAATTCCTGCCAAAAAGTAAAAGGTAAGGAATTTGTTTATCATTGTTCCTCTTGTGAGTTTGATCTTGACATTAGCTGTGCTTTGCTTCCGAACTTGATTACTGGAGATTTCCCAAAGCTGAAACATTTTAGCCGTCAACATTCACTCTTCTTCATTCAAAACCACTATATTGAACCCCAAGACCAATCTTGCTCTGCATGTAAAGAACCCATATCAGGTCCTGTTTATTGTTGTTTTGATTGTGAGTTTTTCCTTCATCAGAAATGCTTTGAGTTACCCCTTGAGATTGAGCACCCTAGTCACCGCAAACACTCTCTTACTCTTCTACCCAACCCTCCACCTCATCCAGAGAAATGTTCTTGCCATTTATGCACCAAAGCTTACAAGGGATTCATTTATTATTGTTCTCTTTGTGAGTTTGGCATTATGATCAAGTATACTTTCTCTGATCATAAAGTGATAAAAATAAGCAGCATGAGCATCCATTTACCCAAGTACAGAGACCATTCTCTTTCATTTGTGATGCTTGTGGTACAGATGGGGGGTACTGCATTCCTTATGTATGCACCGAATGTAACTTGCAGTTCATAAGGATTGCACTTCACTCCCAAGGAACATCTTGATAACAAGGCATGATCATCCAGTTTCCCATATTTACTATTTCCTTGAAGAAAAAAACGTTAAGAAGAGGGGTTGCAGAATTTGTCAAAATGAAATCAATACAGAGTATGGGTGTTATCATTGTCCAAGTTGTGATTACTTTGTTCATGTGGATTGTGCAATGGACAAAGATATTTTCATCCAAGAGTATGAGGTGACAGATGAAAAGCAAAATCTCAGTCAAATAAACTTGGGGTGGTTAGTTGGAGAGCCTTCTATTACTCATGTTCTCAAGGAAAAGAAAATTGGAGAGGAAGTAATAGCCATAGAGATTAAACACTTCGACCATGGATGCAAATTAGTACTTTGTGATGATGTAAAAGATGAAAAATGTTGTGACGGTTGTGGGCGGTCCATCTTAACTTCATTTTACTATTGTGCCGAATGCAATTACATCCTTCACAAGCGTTGTGCTGAGTTACCAAGAAAGACACGGCATTGGGCTTCCAAGGACACCTTTACTCTTGAGCCTTAAATAGAGTTCAAATGTTGCTTCTGTTGTTTTCGCGGCAGTGGGCTTGGCTACACGAACGATGCAAATGATGAGGGTTACTGCATTTCATGTTTTCTAATTCTCGATACCATCACCACTCAAGGACATAAGCACCGGCTCTTCTTTGATCACAAATTTACTTTCAAATGCAGTATTTGTGATGATGGTCATCAGAAAAAAGGGGCGTTTATATGCAGACTCAAGGAATGTGTTCATTTCTTCTTGGATTATACATGTCTTAAGTCGCCAAATACAGCCCAGTACAAGTATGATGAACATCATTCGCTACTCACTGTGATAATATTCATCATCATTTGGACCAATGTGTCTGTGATATTTGTGAACGATCAAGAGATCCAAATGAGTGGTTTTATTATTGTGGAATCTGTGATAATTCTGCTCATTTCTTGTGTGTTCTTGGCAAGAACCCGTTCTTGAAGCTCGGATTGACTCACAAGTACCGTTTTCATGAGCACCGTCTTACTATTGCGAAGAAGGATTATTTCCTTGAGTATCTTAAATGCAGTGTTTGTGACAAGTATTGTAAACAGGTATTCCTCAAATGCACGCAATCAGGATGCAAGTATGTTATCGACTGGGAATGTCGATTACATATTCGGAGAAGTAAAGGGTTATAAGATTGTTAGAAGAACACGTGGGAAACCAAAAAGTCCATGCTTCTTGTTCTTTTATTTGTTTTTCAGTTTCTTTTTCTTTTGAGCTGCATTGTACCACAAATTGAAAATATTCTTATTATTTTTTTCTTTCACGTGTTTGAAGTAAATATTAATATAAATTTTCAATTTATTTTTAATTAATTATAGCATTTGTAAGGTATATGAAATGAATGGATTTTTTATAATTCTTGTTTTTTTGGTACCAATTAATGGATTTATTATAATTCTATGACCTAGGAAAATCAACCTTTATTCCTCTGTTGTCTTGAGGTTTTTGCGAATTCTACATATGTAAATGGGAAAAAATGTTTGAAGAACCCCACCATACTTCCACACAACCCGCCCTTCTTTACTCCCACTATACTTCCACACAACATACCCTTCTTTTCTCCTTTCACTACTGGTTTAACTGCTTGGAAGTAGGGGTGTTCTTTCACTACTTGTTAACTGCTTGGAAGTTGGAATTTTGTAATCATTAATAAGGAACAAGGGGTCAAAAAAAAAAAAAAGGGTGAGAGAAAGAAGAGAGTACGCATTAAGAACTTGACTTTTATTCCTCAATCAAGAAAAAGGGGAAGAAACATAGGACCAAAGATGGAAGAAAGGGGCATTGCAATCAATTGCAATGCCACTACCCATATACTTTGCAGAGAGAACTAAAGTACAAGACAATAACTAATTATACTGACCCACTGGTCATTTCCATCGGCAAGGGAAAAAGGAGTTGAAAAAGGGCATGATCACGATTTCCTTATGAAACAAAGGCACAATTATACAAAGCAGATCATTGCAAGGATCCTATCATCAATCCTTCGAGTAAGAACACAGGGTGGATCATCTACCCTTTTGGCAATAATGTATCTGTATGATCAACTTCTCCTTTCCCCATTTCTAGGGCATCTCCGGACCTGAAACCAGTAACCAGATACGTTAATGACTAGACAGACCAGAACAATTATCTTTTACTGAAGATGATGACGTGAAACTTAAACCTGCAGGCATTTGACAACCACAAGTAATAGACAGTCAACTTGAGAAATAGCCATGATGTTCCATCTCAAACACATACAGAGATTCTTATCCTACAGCTTTTGATAATTGACTCAGTCAAAAGCACACCTGGAGTGTCAGCGTCTAAGCCTAGGCATGCAGCGAAATTCGGCTAAAAGAGCTATATGATCTGAGGACCACTCTGGAGAAGGAAGAGCAGTGTCTTTCCTCAAGCTATCCTCATCCAACAGTTCCAATAAGGACTCCACCGCCAGAGAATCAGCTGAAAGCATAGACAATTCTCTATATAAGTATGAATAACAGAAGGGGAACAGCAACCATGAGGCTGGATGTACATAGTTTGTTAAGACCCAAATGCAAAGAAATTTACCTGTGTAAAATATGTAATCTAGAGTTCCAATAAAATCTCTAGTGCAATTTGTGAATATGGGTTCATTTGTTGAGGGATCCATTCTCCTCTTTTGCTGTTCCAATCTGAGACCTACACCCACCCTTGCAAGGGATGAGTAGGCACTAACCTGTTGAAAATTACTTTGTCAAGAGGCAGAATCCCTTTAAAAAGAAGTAGCAGCTGTTAACTGAAAAACTTTGGAGAAACATCTAATAAGGTAGGCAACAGTACCAGTGGCAGCTGATGTGCCAACTTGCTATGAGGACGTAAAATCCCAAGAGGATCTAACGCTAAATCTGGATGCATTGGTTCTATCTTTCCCATGGCAAGAAGTGCATGTGGAGCACTGTACATAAGTAACCGAACAATAACTTTAATAATACAGAAGGCTAACACAAAGTGAAGTGGACTTGAATATCCATAAAGTGTAACATTATGTACATACCTTCCAGGAACAGAATTGAAATCCCCACATACCAACATTGGAATGTCTGCACTGGCAGCTATTTTTTCCAATCCTTTCAAGAGAGTGTGCACCTAATGCAAAATTAAGAAACACTAAATTATTGACTACTTTTAATAACAATAATAAACATAGACACCATTGAAATAGCAATTAGAACCTGCCAGATCTTGACATCTTTTAGATCTTGTTGAACATTGACATGTGTATTTGCCTGTATTCCAAAACCACATACAAATAAAGGAATCAAAAGATGGAAAGAAAGAAACTGTGGAAGAGCAACAAATTACCAAAAAACAAAAAAAGAGTAATATCAACTGAGTAAATGAGTCAATATTTATGAATTTACAGATGTATCCAACCCCCTCCAAGAATATCACAAAGTTTTCAGTTAAATCCAGTACAGGCCCACCCAGCACAATTGATGCAATGTTTAGGGCGCAAGCCTGATCTATAATTAGCTTATGACCACTCTAATCCCTTATTACATCTATCCAATCACATGATACTGCAATCTTTATGAATTTACAGATATATCCAACACCCTCTGG